TGTACATAACTTATAGTCTCTGAAATGAACAGGAATGAAATGAACACCCCAGATTATGGACAGAAGTTTTAGAAAATAGTGACTTTCAATATGTGTAGTGGAATTCAAAAGAAAGAGGGAGACTGGGATATTTATCTACACTTTGCCACCACGTTGTCCTTCTACAATTGAACCTTCACCCCACCAGGATCTTGGCACATTTAGCTTATACTTTTATTGACTGGTACACCACTTAGATACTTTGCCCTAAATGACACAGTTTAGAACAAACAAGAAAACTTTTGGATACCACCTTACTTTACTCACAATGTGAAAAACATTTTATGTATTCCTTCATTCATTTATTTAGCAAAAGGCAAGGAATATACACTATGTGTCTGTTACCATGCAAGTGCCAGCATCATGAAGAGTCAGGTTGTAGACAATGTCATGTTGCAGAGTGATAAAGTATTCTGACAGACATACACACAGGGTGCTCTGGAAATATTTTTGTCCTTGAGTCAACTGTGGTTATTATGCCTAGGATAAATATAGGACAGAGACACATGCTATTTTCTATTACTACTCAAGACAATTTAACTAGCAGTCTGCAGATAGCTGTTGAGAACCTGCTCCTTGTTAAACTTTGTGCAAGACACTAAATGAGATATTGAAATTCATTCCAGGATCAAGTGATTCTTAGAAATCAAGTCTTGAAGGCTGACTTGTCTTTATCTGTCTCAAGCACTAGAGGAACTCAAGTTTATTTTACTTGTTCTGAATCAGCTACAGACTCATGATCTTTTATTCAAAACATTAGGGCTGAATGTGTTTGGAAAATCATAAATTTTAAGGATCTGTAAAGAGGCACATTTATTGTATACTATATGTAAATAGATCTGGAACAGCAACCTATGACCAAATATATTAATTATTCCATTGCAGTATGTATGTATGTTGACCTTAGGTAACATATAGAAAGGCTATAAATTGCCTCATGTGATCAGGTCAGGTTTTGGTAGTGAATGAATCATGAAGAAACTTGAATTTCAGGGGATTTTGTGGTTTTATGAATTGAAACAAGGGATTGTGGACTTGTACTAAAGAAGAGAGCAAATACAAAAGTATTCCATAGACGCTTATGGTTCAGTTTCTCTCTCTTCTATCTCTCTCTCTCTCTCTCTCTCTCTCTCTCTCTCTTTCTCTCTCTCTCTCTCTCTCTCTGTGACACACACATGCACACAAATCCATATTTACACAACTAAGAATACAAGGAGATATTTAAAAATTCTCAGATAGACTGTGCAGTCAATAAATGCATTATAAACTTAGAGGAGGGAGAATGACTTCTTCCTTGGTTGTCAAGGCCTCACAGAACAGAGGGGACTGAGGAGCATACTGCAAGCCAGGTACAGGTGATGTGGAGGGGACCAGCATCATGCAGTGTAGGTACAGGCCATGTGGAGAGGGTTACAATTGTTCAGGATGGGTGCAGGCCATGTGTAGAAGGCCGGAGCTAGGGAGGGCACCATGCTGGCATTGGCATTGACCAAAGACAGGGGGTGCAACAACTTAATGTGTTTTTTAGTTTCTTCATGGAGAAAGGAGCCAGAGTTGCCATTTCACTTTACCAATATGAATTTACAATTTTAGATGCTATTTTAGAGAACCTTTTATATTCTGGTTAAAAGGCAAAATTGATTGGGGGTTTTAAAAAAAAGGGAGTAATTGTTATTTCTTTCTGTGTCTTGGATGAAGATGTGACATTTTGCTTATTAACTACAAGAAAGCTAGTTCTGCTGCTGTTGGATGTATTATGTGACTTTCTTTTTTTAATTTGAGGGTTAAGAAAGCTTTATTTTATAGTTATTTTCAAAGAAAATCTTTAGATAAATATTTAGATCAATTGTTCTCATCATTGTCTATGCTTTAGAAATATGGACCAGGGTGTGGGAGGAGGGAGGTTTCAAGAACATCCTGATGCTTGGCTCCCATCCCTAGAGATCTGATGTCAGTGGTCTGGGGTACAGTCTGGGCATGGAAAATTTTAAAGCTGGGTGAGTCTAATGTTAAAAACCATTGAATTCAATTGATTAACTTTTGGTTTTAATCTGCATGAAGGATAGGCAAAGTTAATATTTAGTTAAATATCTTTCACAATTAGAATGAAAGCATAACTATGAAATTAAAATAAAAATTAACTACATGTCAACTAAAGTGTTTTGTTAAGTATTTTTTTAAGCCAAAAGATCATTTTTGGCCCACTCTGTATTCATTTTGTTAGAATAATACACTTTTGCCAAAGAATAGGAGGATTATGCTTCATATATACACACAGATTCATCATTAAAACCTGGAAATTGCTCTCCTCTCATAAAATTTCCATATCTGGCATTGAGTCAAAGCCGTAAAAGGGAGAGCGCTTCTGCGATTTGTTCCATCCCTATCTTATGGGTTAGCTACAAAGAATTTTTTTAAAAAAGAGATAGTGAGCCTGAAATTTAACCTTGTGGAAACCAGAGACATTAGAGACTTGCCAAGCGTCACACAGCTCCATGATGGTGAAGTCTCACCCAACCTAGATTCTGACTTTGATTCAAGGCTGTTTCCATGCCACTGCCTTTGTTTGACTTTATAGGCATTAAGGGAAGATAAACTGGGTTGAGACTGGTGAAGACATTTGGAAACAGAAGTAGAAGACAAATTAAACTTCCAGGCTATGCACAGATAGCAGAGTTATTCAGAAGGAGAAGCTGCAATACAGATGTAGCATCAAACTACTTTCCTATGTGCAAGATAAGATTATCTCATTTGATGAATATTCTATTGTGCATGACTCCTGCAGGATGTGGTGTATAAGGTATCAATTGATGCAATTGATTCTGAAATGTTTTTTAGGCCCCAACTTATAAAAAATAAATTATGCTTTTAGAGTCAACATTCATTCAGATCATAAACTTTTGCTTTTTTTTCTGTTGCCATCAAAAACAATAGGCAGCTATAAATCCTCAGAAATTGATAAGGATGCAGGGAACTTTGAAAGCAAGATCCAATTACCTTTAGAAAAGTGGATAGAGGTCTTTTCACATACAGGTCAACTTCATATTTGTAGCTTTTATTTCTAAGTCATAGCAAAATGATACCAGTTGGCTGCTGGAACAGCCTACATTTAAGCTTTATTTCTACATGGTGGTATATGACCAAATCTGGCAATGAAGCTTTAAGAGGTAGATTGTTTATTTGAGTCCCTATAGAAACAACACCATAAGATTAATCTAAGCTAACTAAAACTTCCCAATCTGATGAAATCTCTGGATAGAGGAAGAAAAGACTTCTTTGAGATAATGTCACAATAGAGGCGTTTCTTGAATAAAAATGTCATTTAGCACGTATCTGTGTCTATGTAAGTTATTAATCTAAAAAATAAAAGTTCACATAAAAGGTATTTGAAAGCTTTAGGAGTTGATTAATTGGTTTCTTAACTTGCTATTGAAGTATCAAACCTCAGTTTTTCCTTGGAACGATGATCCTAATTTTCACGTTTTTGCCATCTGCCTTCTACACTATAGAGACAAAGAACACATGGAAGAGGTTGCTATGTTGTATTATTAATGGGCCATATGAGAATTTAAATATTGTTTTTTTCTCCAAAATATATGGATCAAAATATATTTTCACAAAATTAAATAAAATCCTATACAAAGATGACAGATCTAGAACAATAACAAAAAAAGCTTTTGCTTATTAAGTATGAAAAGAGTCTGCTAATGTATTGGAAGGAACACTGGTCCTGAGAATTAAGGGTTTGGTTTTGAGTCCTGCCCTTTCCATAACTAGATATCTAACCTTAAGTAAATCCTTTAGCATTTCTGAAATCTATCATTTGAGAAATGGGATAATAATCTGTGTCATAGTATTGCAAAGATGGAAGCAATTCATATGTTGTAATGCATGCAAAATTATTTTTACTTTCCATTAGAAAACTCTTTCAAGTTAGACTTTTTTTTTTCCTAGACCAGAAATGACTCTAAGTTCACAATGATATGTGTTAATTTAATAGCAGGGACTGTATAATCTCAAAATAGTGATATATGTCCATTCTGTTTAGATAAGTACATCTGTATTATTTTTCTTTTGATCTTAAAAAAAAATTATACTTTCAACATCAATTTTAGCAGATATAGGTTACTGTGACAGGTTATTTTCAATAAATAACAATAAACAATAAACAGATGTAACTGACAATGAAATTAGCATGATTTTGTCAATTGATAAAAACCATGTTACAAACGATCTGTTTATATCACCTAGAAAAATTCTTTATTTGTTGTTTATTTCCATTTATAACACACAGATGTTTAATTTATTCATTCAGACTCTTTTAAATCATGATTGTTCAGTGTTTACTTCAAGTATTCGCTTTATTTTGACTAACAGATCACTGTTCTACCTCTGAGAATTACTTTTATTTTTAAATATTTTTATATTTTATCTAATATTTATTTTTAGTGTTTATACACACACATAATTGGGAGCAATTACTGAATTATTAGTGATGCTAGGAAAATTTTGTTATTACTCAAGTTTTACCTGGCTTACTTATATTATCTACCTGTATTTTAAAAATGAGTGAAGCAGATCTTCAATAACCATGTTTCCAAAGCTATGCCAGGCAGCCAACCAAATAGAACTATTGTCATTGGCTCCTAAAAACCACAAAGGGAAGTTATTGTGAATTTATTTTCAGAAATCTAATTTTTTCCTTGGAGAATGATCTCTTGAGCTACCAGATTTTCACATAACAATAGGAAAACTGTTATCTCAATAAATTAGAAATTTTTATTTATACCCCAACTTAAAAATGAAAGCTGTTAAAGATAATATTCCTGCTCTGTAAAAACTCTTCAAATTTGTATGCTCTAGAACAAACGTGAGACTCTTTATCTTCAGGTATTGAAGACAAGCACACTCAGTAGTGAATTAACATTGCCTGTGATTCTCTGGTTATTTTTCTTTCACAGCAACACCCCTGAGCTCACTGAAGCCCCCACGAATGGACACTGCTCCGATGGTCGCGTCTCCCTATCAAAGAAGAGATTCAGATAGATACTGTGGGCTCTGTGCAGCCTGGTTTAATAACCCTCTGATGGCCCAGCAACATTATGATGGCAAGAAACACAAAAAAAATGCTGCAAGAGTTGCTTTATTAGAACAACTTGGGACAACCCTGGATATGGGAGAGCTGAGAGGTAAGGGCATCTCTTCTTATTTCTGCCACAACACAGGACTTTCAAAGGAAGGATTGTGTTTTCACAGTTGGGAGTATTCCTCTCATTGTTTTGTTTATTAAGGAAAAAGTGAGGCTCACTCAAAAGAAACAGAAGAGAAAGGAAATGAGCAGAAAACCCTCTAACTTCAGTTTTGTAGTCTCCTTTGTTTCAAGTTTTTCTTTCCATATTTTTATTGACTGTTTTTCAGATCAAAGACCTATCCATGAACCAGATTGTCTTTCCTTCTGCTCTGTCTTTAAACACCTTTTCTAGTGAATGCTTTTGTAGAGGAGCAATGTGAGAGAATACACTCAAAAACCTAAATAGCATTATCTTATCTTAAACTTGTGTGTTTATAAATTCAGACAAAATAAAGCATCCAGTTGACTCTGTTTAATGGCTTAAAGCAAGTTCAAGCCCCTTTCATAGAGATGTTTGGAAACTGAGGTAAGATGGTACTGTCTGACACTAGAGTCAACGTCAGGCTTCCCCAGCCCTGACAACTTTTCTGTACAGCTGGAAACCATTCCTCATTTCAAGGTCATGTGAGGTTTCCCATAAGTTGCTCAACAGAGACTTGGAAACTGTAGGGTAGGGATTAGTTCTATGGATTCCTTAGGAAACTGTAGACCACTTTGGGGGACATAATAGAATATTTCGTCACTAGCAACCATTCAGGCATTTATGGATCACCTAAATAGTTTTGATCAGCTTGATGTTGACAGTATATATCAACAAAATCACACACTATATATTCTTTTTTCTGAAAAAACCAATTTTCTCAGAAAGGTAATTCTGCAAGCAATGCTGTTTATTCTATACTTCAGGTATGGTACAGGTTAGATAAGCCCTTTATGGGCAGGCTAGAGAACCATCATTCAGAACAGCTCTAAGCTACAGATAACAAACAAAATTTACAAATCAACTTTGAGAGTGCAATGTAGGTTTAAACTGGCATCTGCACATAGGGCATGCAATTCTTGTTAACCTAACCTGGCTGTGAACCTCTAAGAGGGACAATTGTGGCAGGAAATGACCTGGTACGATTCTAGACAAAATACATAGGGCAAAAGATCATACCATATGAGCTGAAGGAAAGGACAGGTTACTTCTCAGTATGTCAGTTGGGGAAAAGGTGAGAAACAAAAGTTGGAGATGGCTAATAAATATACCATCATAGAAGAATCTCATACCACAGTAGTTTTAAGATTGCAGGTCCAAGACTACAGCTATAGGGCTAGATTTTCCCCCCAAGATATGTGATTAAAAACAACAAATAAGAGCAAACATGAAAAACACTATTTTTGTGTATGTTTTCTAGCTACAGAAAAACAACATGGGGCTTAATATTTCAGTGTGTTGGATAATCTCATTGCAGAAGTTTTGAGTTATTGGTCCTGCTGATTTTTGTTGGGAGATTTTTTTATGTTCTCAGTCTGTCTTGTTAAAGAATATAGGCAGAGTCTCCCCATAGCTGAAGGCCTACCCGCAACGCCTCTGTTACTGACAGATAACAAGTTGTCTCAGTGACTCCTTCACAGCAGGGCACTGAAGGAGAAAAATAGGGCTTTATTTATGTTTGTTGCCAGATATTATGACTTGAAGAAAAATTATTCCAAGAGCACATTCTTCTTGTCTATTTTGAATTATCAGTGCTGCATCTTTTATGTACAGCTACATCTTAATGACTTGGGTGTCTGAATTCTGTAACATTTGAGCAGCTTGTCTTTCATACAGAAGACAAAAAGGCTGCTCTTTGACATGATAACTCAGTGTGACTGTGACTCAGTAGCCCATGGAATGTGATTAGCATTGAGCACAATGCCCTTGAAAACAACCTTTCCACCCACTTCAGGTGACATCCTGATAGATATTTATTCAAGCATTAAATATTACAGAAGCTTAAGGAATAAAGCAACTATGGCAACCCAGCTCTTTGAAACACACATATCCCTATTCCTGGAATGCTTCTAATGTATGATCAATCAATTAATAAAGGCAAAAACGCCAATCTGGAATATAGGCATAGCCATAACTTTTACAAAATAACATCAGGCAGCTCAAGCATGTTATGGCAGTGAGACAGGATGGCAGACTTTTTTCTTTCTTTCATAGCACTTCTCATGTTTTTAAATACTATGTAATTTACTTATTTACTATAGTTTTCCATATTTTCTTTCTCCCTATTTCCCTTATAGATTGTAGCAGCTTGAAAGCAGGCATCTATACCTGTTTTCCTCATGAATGTGTTCAAAACAACTAGAAATGTGTCAGACACATGTAGGTACTCAATGAATGAATAAACACAGAAAACTCTTTAAAAAATCATCTCTACAATAAATCAAAAAATTAGCCAGGCGTGGTAGCGTGCATCTGTAGTTCCAGCTACTTGGACGGCTGAGGCGGAAGGATTGCGGATCCCAGTAGGTCGAGGCTGCGGTGGCCGGGAGCAGCCACTGCACTCCAGTCTGGGCGACAGAGTGAGACTCCCAACTCAAAAAAAAAAAAAGTCACTTAAAATCCTATACTCTTAGCATGGTAACCATTTTTATTTATAAAAGGATCCTGATTGAGTAATTATTATAAGATATTATTTATTATTCCGTTCTGTTTTAAATATATGTATTTTATATACAGTAAAATGCAGAGTGTATAAGTGTTTCATGAGTTTTAATAGCACAAACACCTGTGTAACCTATACTCTTATTAAGATTCATGACTTTTCCATAACAGGAAAATTCCCATGTGTCCTTTCCCAGTCAATTCCAGCTTTCTATTCTGGGAAACCACTTTTCTCATTTTTTTCACCATAGATTAGTTTTGCTTGTTCTAGAACTTCATACAAATGGAATCATAAAGTTTCTATATTTTGTGTGTCTGGCTTCTTTTGCATAGTCTATTGTTTTTGAAACATATCCTTTTATAGCATATAAAGCAAAGTAGTCCTTTTTTATTAGTGAGTAGTATTCTACTGGTAAAAATCCCACAATTTGTCTATTCATTCTCTTCTTGATGACTTTTTTATTGTTTTGGTGTTATTTGGAATAAAACTGTCATGAACGTTCCTGGACAAGTCTTTTTTTTTTTTTTTAAATCAGCATATGTTTTACTTCTCTTGGTAAATATTTAGAAGTAGAATTGCTGGGTCATAAGTTGTGTGTATTTTTAACTATATAAGAAACTGACAAAATCCAGAGTAGTTGCATTATTCTACACTCCAAAAGCCTACATATAAAAATTCCATACAGGTGACAGAAACCCTCATCTGCCAGTGTCTTCTCAATGAAACCACCAATGAACCCTAAAACAAAAACTAAGCAGAATAGACTTCTAGCTATCGAGCTCCTTCTAGTTCTCCATCCCTCTCCAATTCTTCTGACCGTCTCCAGTTGTCCCAGTTGTAACTCAAAGGGTGGCATATCAAGCTCTTTGTTATTTAAAAACAAATAAAAAGAATTTAATATCCTTACCAACATATGCTTTTGTCAAACTTTTAAATTTTAGCCATTTTGATGGGTTATGGGAGGTCATTTCATGATGGCTTTAATTTTTAATTTGTATTTCCATGTTAATGATGTCAAGTAGTTTTTGGTATGCTTATTGATCAGTCCTATAGTTTCTTTTGTGAAGTGTCTGTTCATGTCTTTTGTTTATTTTTAAAAATGTGGTTGTTTGCCTTTTTACTGATGAGAGGAGTGGGTAACAGATGTTTCTATATTATGAAATGCACATCTTTTGTCAGGTATACACATTGTGAATATTTCCTCCTTGTTCTTGGCTTGGCTATTTATTTTCTTAAGTCTTTTGATGAGCAGACATTTTGAAAAATTGGAAATCTAATCTTTTTTGTTTTTTCTTTGTAATCATTGCTTTTTGTGTCCTACCTAAAAAGCCTTTGTCTATACCCATGACTAAAGATATTTTTGCATATTTTCTTCTACAAGTTACATAGTTTTAGCATTTACATCTAGGATTATGACATATCTGAAATTAATTTTTGCATATGGGGTGAGATAAGGATTAAAATTCATTTTGCTTTTATATACTTACACAGTTGTTACAGAAAATTTGTTGAAAATACTTACTTTATCTCACTTAATTGCCTTGAATTGTCCTTATTGAAAATATATTGATTGTGTGAGTCTATTTCTGGAAAATCTATTCTGTTCCATGGGTATCTTTGTCTTTATGCCAGTACCACACTGTATTGATTTTTTAGCATTATAGAAGTCTTGAAATGAGATAGTGCAAGTTTTCCAACTTTGTTCTTCTTTCTCAAGAATTCTGAATTCTTTGCATTTCTATATATATTTTGGAATCATTTGTCAATCATTACATAGAAAGTTTGTTGGAATGTTGAATGGGATTGAATTCAATCTATAGATCAATTTTGGAAGAATGTATATAAATTTTTAAAAATATTGAGTTTTTCAATCCATGAAAGTACTATATCTCTCCATTTAGTTATGTCTCTCAACGTTCTATCAACAATGTTTTTTAGTTTTCAGTGTAAAGGTTTTTCACATCATTTGTTAAATTCACCTCCAAATATAGTTACCCCTTGAACAACTCAAAAAATAGGGCACCAACTCCTCATGCAGTTTAAAATTCAAGTATAACTGTAACTTTTGACTATCCAAAATCTTAGCCACTAATAGTCTATTACTGACCATAAACCTTACTGATAACTTAGTTGGTTACCATACATTTTGTATGTTATATGTATATATACGCTACTCTTACAATAAAATAAGGAAAAGAAAATGTTATTAAGAAAATACTAAGAAAGATAAAATAGACTTATTATTCACAAACATTTTTATCTTCATTGTTTTAATATTGAGTAGGCTGAGAAGATGAAAAAGGAGGGGTTGGTCTTGCATTCTTGGGGTTGGCAGAAGAGGTGGAGAAGGTAGAAAGGGAGGTAGGAGAGACAGGCACAATTGGTGTAACTTTACAAATATACATAGTAATTTCTG